CCTAAGAGTTCCGCCGGAAGACGACTAAATCCCAAGGTCGTTACACGAACGCTCTCCCACGTGTGGCGATCCGACAAGGGACATATATCGTCCGCATAGTATCTAATTTTCTTGATCCATTATTTTGCTATGAAAATAGCAAACTTAAAATTATCTGGTAAAGTTTTAAATAATGTGTTAAATATGATTTTTTACCAGAGACGGTCACATAATGACTATAACAAGTTTACATACATCATAACAGGGCCGAAGAAGTCTCGGAGGCATCTCAACATCGGATGGATGATTCTGGAGAAATCAGAATTGGTCACAAACCCGATTTTCGTGTGAAGTCCCCACTGATTGCTGGTGAAGTGGAAATCTGTCTCATGGAGGCCTCACGTGTTCTCCCAACTGATAAAAAGATTCGTGATGATTGGGATAAGTTGATCAAGCTTATGAAAGATGCTCATGTGCGATTACTGAGGAAGCGCACTAGAGGGAGGGTTGGGGACGTGAAGGAAATAGAAGAAGATCTTAACAGGGTGCCAGTTTTTGGTATCAAGTTGCTGGTATGTAATATCGCAATTTTTTTTTTTCACTCAAAACTAACCATTTCTACTTTAGGAGGAACTATGGCATGTTGGGTTATGACTATGCCATTTGGAGCCTTTTACTTTGTTCAACGTCTTGGTTCAGTGCAAATTTCTATGAATCGAGGCCAATCTTCACTCGCTGGATTTATGGATGAATTATGGAAGTTAAGGGTAAGGCATCTTTTTACGGAATGCGAGAAGTTGATAAACAAACTCTTGGTTAATTAATAGAATTATTTGTAGGCGTCTCTACGAAACCACATTCGCACCCTTAATGAGATTGTGGAAAAAGTTGATGCGTCTTTATATAACATAGCTTTTTGTTCACCACAAGCTCGGGAAGATGTGCCCCTTTACGATGGAGAGTTAGTAACGCCACGATCGCCGTAACAGAGCTTGCTGATGCGGGTATTTAAAAAGACAGTGTTCTTCTACCATTAAATTTCCACCCAATAACAGGTAAGTATAGAGATATTGTATAAATTATTATGTATTTTTATTGTATCGACTATCCTGGCTTTGCTAATAAAGAATTCGAGTTGAGAAGATTATATATTATGTCGATATTTTCATGTGTATCTTGTATCGAGTTGTACACCCCATATACCCACACCGGAAAATTAATTATATGCTTGTAGTATATGCCGAAATAGATCATGTAACGATTATCCCAGATATAGAACGACGACGCTATTTTTCTATCGCTGGCTATGCGTGTTCCACGAACTTCTATGTCGATCTTGATCTTGTGTGATTGGTTAATAATTTTCCGGGTTTTTAATTATTCTGATTGGATCCCAAAACTTTGTTTGTGAACGGCGCATTCCCAGCCAACCAATTATCATCGTATATATACCCTTTTACCAATTATCAACGGTTACTTACATTCCCACGTTTTTTTCGCGAAAGTATACGCTATTCTTTCTTGAGCAAGACTCGGCTCTAGGATTGTATAATCTAACAGCTCGTTGGATAGCGTCATTTTCATATTTCCCTGCCTATTAGTTAATATACATCGAACCTTTCTCTATTTGAACCGCCATAATATTCGGAATTATGTCTTCTGCCTATAAAAGAAAAGAATCCGTCACGTCGGAGCTACGAAAAATAATATCCACGACATATTCGAACCACCTGTATCAAGTGTTATTTCGAGCCGTGAACATCCCCATAGACGTATGTGAAAGTTTGATTTATCGTTTCTTGGTAATTAGGCAATCGCTAAGAACTTCACTGACAATAGCAATTGCAAAGTCTGCTAAACGAAATCAACAAAAGAAGTTAACTCGATACGCCTATAAGGTTCTGGCGAATCAGGGAAAAGAAGCGACTATTATCCCCAGTAACGATAAAGACATCCAAAATAATGAAGCACCTACTGTTAATCCTAATATTCATGATAATACAGATAATCAGAAAAAACATGAAAAAGCAGAGATATTCTACAATCCAGAAAAGGTAGGTTAAATGAATATTACTTGAGAGCGGGAGAGATATATAATTTCGTTATATTAAATGGAGCTTGAAGAAAAGGGGTAATCATCGTCTTTAAGACAGGTCTAGGGGCCGATTTCACCCTCCCTTGCAAAGCTCTATTTATAATTGAGGAAGTGATTGCGAAATTATCAGTATCTTTTAGCGAGGAGAGGAAGATCCGATAAAATTCCCGCGGTTTATACCACCAAGCTATTAGATGAGAAGTAATTTGCGTATATCCGCCTCAGAATCTATTACATATAGATATCTAGCCTACGACGATTTGATATCGACATTAAATCACTTTATTTTTTTAGCACAAAACACAAATAGAGACACGGAAATCTACGAAAAAAGATACTGTTAATTATATCCGAACACAGTGGGTTTCTGAGAATTTTGTCGCTGAGGATCTTAAATCAACCAATTTATCCCAGCCTTCCACAGTAGTCAGTCCGAAGTCTACATTCATCGAAAAATTCTTAGAAAAAAGACGCGAAAAGCGAATTGCAAATCAAATTCCTATTGATGGCATCTCTTCGATACCAGAAAAATATATGAAGTTATTGGAGGTAGAGATATTTCGCGAACCCAATGTCTTAGAATCAATACCTCAAGATTTATGGAATGAGTTTGGACAATGGGCATGTTTTAATAAGGTTCCTTATTTTAGAAAAAAATTCCGGTATCATTCTCGACGTCTGTGGTCTAAAATAAGACATGCGTACGATCAACATACGAAGAATCAGAAGCTCTTAGAAGATCACGAAATTCCAGAAATGTTCCAGCGAGACCCTTGTGATTACGGACGAAACGACAAAAAAAATCATGAATAACGTTCACCTCGACGGCTATAAATATATTTCAAAACCATGGTGTATTAAAAACGTTTTTGGTGAAACGATAATTGACTTCTTTGATCTGAGCAATCCAGTATCTGCGAGAGTTGCGCAATCTGCGGTGGATGATTATTATGAGCACACTCGCAAACATGTCAGTCATCAGAGTAACCAGTTTATCAATAACCTGGCAGAACAATTCGGTTGTTTGACGGATAGCAATATAGAGCCTTACGTTACGGCAAGCACGGCATCCAACCATTCCCAGGACCATCAGAGTTGCGTGAATAAATTGATGCGAGAACTTCAACCATTATCAGACGCAGTTAACGATTATCTTGGTGTTTCTTATCCAGCGTTGTATGCTAAGATGAAAAAACTTAATCTAGGTTCCAATGTTCCTAAATGTTTTGGTGCCTTCCCAACAGTCGGTATTAACTTTAACTCTATTTGCCAGTTCCATCGGGATCTGAAAGATCATAGTAATACGCTTTGTGTTGTTTGTCCTCTGGGTGTGTTCGAAGGTGGACAACTGGCATTTCCCGAGTTAAAATTTGCGATTAATGCTAAACAAGGGCAGGCGATAGCTTTCCGATCACATCTTTTAATTCATGGGAACCTTCCAATAACGGCTGGGTCAAGGCATAGCGTTGTCTTCTATATACACGATATCGTTATAAAGCAAAAACGAAAATTTGCTTCTCTTTTTGATGATGGGGATTTAGATGCGCTGGAGATTCTAGATAACACTTGTTCAATCGACGATGACGTTATAAAACATGACAAGAAACTGCAGAAATGCTCCCCTCCTAAATTAGCTCCCCGGAATTCCTCAAGATTAAAAAATCATCGGCGGAGTCATCTTGGTAAGTGTCTATTATAGGTGGACAAGGTTTATAAATTAATATATATTGTTTATTAATCTCTCAATTCATAGATTTGGAACCCGCAAGAAGAGGCTTACCGGCGCAGTATAGGAAATAACGCGTCTAATGAGTTTTTAATTATGATTCATTTTCTGTATCACTATACCTTGTATATTATATAAATATATCAATAATAATTGGTTAAATAAAGGAATTTTCATATGTAAATATATCAGTGAGGCTTGATTCGCTCATTGTGGGTATATCATGTATCGATCATGGTTGATTAATTTTTTTATTTGAATATATACGCTTTTACCGTGGCGGAATAGAAAGGCAGGAAGATACTAGAAAATATCGTAAATTTTTAACAGATCGGGATAGACTAATCGGAGAAGAGTTATTACGTCGCAGTATATTAAAGAGTGGTTTAAATACTACATGGCTAGACGATCTGATGAAAGAATGGGAAGAAATCCATACTGAATTCGTACAAATTTTTAGCCAGACATAGCGAGATCCAGATGTCTCTTACACCTCGGATGATGATTATTTATTTAATACAGTAGCCAATTACGTATGTTACATGAACTTCCTATGTCGATCATGATAATTTCCGGTTTCGTTCTAATTGGCTTATTTTTACGATGTTGTCAGATAGAAGACTCAACCTTTTTCTTTTTAATATGAACACGGTTCTTTCGGGGGGTTTATCGGATCGAGATCGTACCAGTCTTCACTATTTTTCGGATATGTTACGCATTGATCAGGCACGGAGTGCACTGCTCCGCAGATAAACCAACTATTTTTTTTTTCTATCGCTGGGTATGTATGTCCACGGGCTGATCTCTGATTCGCGGATTTAGGCTCGAAGAGCCATTTCTTTGAAATAAAACACATGACATCGCTCGTGATGTAATTTCGCAGTTACAATGTGGTTATAATTATTTTCAGATTGAATTTGCTATATTTATGCATTATTTTCTGCATTAAATATATTCGACTAGTCAAGATATTTTATTATAGCAAATATGATAAGTAATACTAATAATAAAACTGATCAAAGCGAAACATTTGCTCATTTATATGAGGTGCTTTTATATAAGAGGAAGGATATAATAGTAATTCAAGAAAAACTTGGTATTAATAGTAATACGTTAAAGAAAATAAAACACGAGTCCGATGGAAAACCACTCGCTGATTTATATAAGTTGCTATTACATTTGGTGGGAAATTTAATACTGATACAGAAAAATCTCGACATTGATGGCAACCCCATTCTGGCAGTAGAATATAATAATGTGTCAAATCAAAACAATAGAGGTTCTTCCGATTTATCACTTTCGAAATTATTTAGTTGCTTTTATACTTGGAAGACGATATAGTAACAATTCAGGAAAAAATCAGTATTCTTGGTTATACTAATCAAGAAATGGCAGAAGAAGCTGATAAAAATGCGAGAGTGTACCTCCAAAGGTTTGAGAAATTTCACGGCCCCTTAGAAGATGATCTAGGTGTGTTAATAAAGAAATTCGCTGATATAGGGGTAAAGAAATTTTGGTTTACTGGTGAGGGACTACCATTATTTCCAAATGTCTCTCCTCAACAATTACATGAGGTTTTCGTCAAAAAATCAGCTAACATCGATCAGTGCCCATGTCTAAAATCAAAAGTAAAACAAGAAAAATTATCACAGATATATATACATCACGGTAAATAAAAATTCTTTGTTTGAAATTAGCTGGGGGCTGTCGAATATACGATTACTCGCTCTATTCTTCTATAGCCAGAATAATGCGCTTTCTGCGATATTATTTAATGATGTATAATATAACCGAAAAAATAACTCGGTAAACAATTACCATTCTCCGCTACTAAATATAATTATTTGTAACCCATGATGGGTAACTAGAAATATTCACACCGGTCTCTCTTATATAGTTATGACCCAAAGGGTCGCCCCTAAAGGGCCTGATTGCAGAAATTAAATCTGTTCTAGCTAATGATGGAGCTTGTTCGCATTTTGATAGACCCTTTGGGTCATTGCTTCGCAATAATATCGATCTTTGGCTTGTTTCATTAATGTGCCACCTGGTCGATATAGCCATTTAATTACTGCATGCTGGATTATTTTAGCAGAATTAATTTGTCTTCTCCATAAACGATATGTCTGCTGGATAATTAACGATGCACGATTTTCTTTATATAATGCTAGTTGAACTTTAAAATTTCTATATTCAGAGTCATTACCTATTTGTTTATGGCTGGTTAAATTATTTTTGATACGAAACACAAAATTTTCCCAGTAATCTCTATTATTTATTTCATATCCTAGTTTTAATAAACGCTTGCGTACGTATTTTGGTGGATAATATTTTGCAAACCGTAACCATGCTTCTGACGTTTTAATATTGTTAACGATATAATTTACACCATATTCACTTAACCTATCTCGCACTATACTATAACTCATTATATATTTGTTATTTCAGATGTATCTAATATAGTTTTAATTGGTACTTCGTATTATGAAATAATGAGCTCCGCTCTAATTTCGCAAGATAAAATTCTCATAGTGATGCTTTATTATAACAATATATTTAATTCTACACTTTTAAATTCGTATTTATAAAATAATTTAACATTTACAATGACTGAAGCTACATCAGATAATAACCATAAATCCCAGAATAAAGCGGTATACAGTGTTAGTAAACGACCATCGGGTAAAAAAATTTTGGTTTCTATTTGCCAATCACTGGAGATAGAAAGACCTGGGACTCATCAAGAAATTGTAAATACCATAGCAAATGCAGATATTTCTCGAAAAAATCGTAGATTATGTGAGGCCCAGCCTTCTTGTTCTTTGAACTCGAAGCCGGATTATATACGCTGTGATAATTGTCGGGAAAAAAAGTTAATTTCCAGCAATACAGCATCTTCATCTGAGTCCGAGTCTGAATCTAGCTCTGAATCTGAATCTGGGTCTGGGTCCGACTCTGAATCGTCTAGCTACGAAGTGACTACCTCCAGCAACGATGATAAAAATTTTACTGTGAATGTGATGAAAGCGAAGAAGCGTAATTAGTTATCATCATAAAGTCGAAATGGTTTCGCTTCTTCAGGTTTTTGTCCCCGCTTTCTGTAGTT